TTGTGTTTTTATGTTGTATTTAATTTCACAATGGCATACTCCCTTATTATGCATGTATGCAGCACTCAGTGCATGAACACTATGTCAGGTAACCATATTTGAAACCATAAATAATAGGGATTGTTCGGCAAGCCTGTAAAAACGGGTCCCGGAGAGAAACCAAAAAGCACAAGAAACACAAGTAACAATATTTTTCATTTCGTGATACTGCACTAAAAAAAATTGTCGATACTGCTGTGGGACTGTGACAGTATCTACCAGGATATATGTGGTTATTTTGTTAGTAGCTTATAACAGAGTTCACTGGCATAGCGGATGCTCCATCGTCACCTTTTAGAGCTGTTGTGTGGCAGCGTTTCAGTTTTCCTGTTTCAGAAGATGACATGGGTGGAAAGGACATGGGTGGAAAGGAAACTGACAAGGTGCACAGCTTGCAAAAACCATCGGAAAAAGGCAATACTAGCTTGATTTATGACTGAGTCAGTCCTGGAGACATCACACAGAAACAGTTGGGCCACGGCTGTGTGCTACACTTTAACGGAGATCAGCAAACAAACTGGACACACACACTCAAAACCAACCTCTCGGTAACAATCTTTAGGTATTTCTCTTGGAAATGTCTCTTGAATATTATCATGGCAATATTGTACTACCGGACCCACACACACAAAACCAACCTCTCAGTAACAATCTTTAGGTATTTCTCTTGGAAATGTCTCTTGAATATTATCATGGCAATATTGTACCTTGGGTTTTTGGTATCATTACCTCCCTAATAAAAAACAAATACCAGTAAGTGATCATCTGCAGAGAAAACAGTCGCCACACAAAAAAAGACCTTCTGCTTAAAGACAAATTAATCAGATAATTGTTTCCTCACTAAATAAGATCACATCAGCTGTTTTGCTTAATAAAATACTCAAGAACAGGACAGGCTTAGTTTTTTTTTTTCTAAATGAGTGCAGAGGTCCTTGACATGGTTCAGTCAGCCGTACGTAGATGAGCTGTGATCCGTGGCTGTGTCAGCTGTTTCCCTCATACAGCCTTGTGTCTGTGCCTTCCCCTGCAGCTGCCTCCATCTTTTTTTTTTCTTTCTTTTGCCCTCCATCACCTCCACAGAGGATGCCCTACCTCGATCTCCTCCATGAAATCACAATTAATTATGGGAAGGGTAGTCTGCAAGCATAATAAGCTGGTGCCCCTTAAGGGGGAGAAATCCATCAGGGTAACCTGAAGTCCCAGCAGACACAGTGACTTTCTGAGGTGTAGCAGCATCACCTCCAGAGGCTGGTGCCGCAGGGTGCAAGAATTATGTTTATTTGGATTTTCATTATCTATTAATCATTTGGTCTGCAAAATGTCTGAGATGGTGTAAAATGCCTGCCACAATTGCCTAAATCCCAAGTTGGAATCTTCAGATGTCTTTTATCCAACACAGAAACCTTGTGCTGTGCCACTGCTGAAACACTTCACTCATTCACAAGCTGCTAATGCTGAGAATGACGGTACCCTTGAGCTAACTTGATTGTGGTGAAGTAAAAACCCATTACAGTTGGACGTCAGTTCTATCTGCGCTTCCTGTTCCATCATAAAGGACTTTCAGTACCGTCTCAGAAAGCACAGCCATTGTGCAGACAGGCTGTTCAAACATTAATACAGATGCTGGCCCTCAAATGTCTGGGAATGTGGAAGCTGTGTCCTCACTTGAGCTCAGCATCTTCTGCAGTAATTTTTTTATTTTTATTTTTTTACTTCAGATGAAGATGTTCTGCCCAGACCTGCTTGGCATTAACTGCATGATGCCTGTCTGAGTGCCTGCAAAGATAGTACATTCTTTCATTTGGCTTGAGCTATGAATTTGGTTTTGACAAGACAGTGTTCCAAATCTCTCTTCAGTGCACCTTCTCGGATTTTACAGCTCTAAGTCAAATGAACACACCGCTACACTAATGCAGTCTCTGTTACTCATAGACCAGTAATTTGCTGACTAAGTTGTTACTTGCTCAGTGCTCACCATATGCAGCAGAAGTTTTTTTTGTGTTTAATCTGGGTTATCTATGCTTCAGCTGTCCTTCTCCCGTGAGAAAACCAAGCACTGCTTTATTTGAAAGAGTTGCCTCCTGGCATTAGGGCAGGATTTGTATGTCAAATTTGCAGGTTGTGTGTGTGTATAAGGTGAAGGCAAGGACAGGCGTGTCGGTGATTATCTGTGAGTGCAGATATAAAGCTCACTCTGTGCCAATTTTTTGTTTTTTTTTAATGCCTAAAACCTACAAGTGACAGTGGCTACAACAGCAGCCCTTAGGTGCTTAACACCAAACCACCTCACAGCTCAGCAGTAGGTAATGTTTCCATTATTATTGAGCCCCGCAAAGTAAGTCCACAGCGATCGATGCGCCCCTGTGTGTTTTCCCACACAGGCACCAGTCCGATTAAGATGACTGGTGTAGAGAGAAGACACTCTGCAGATTAGAAAACTATAACTAAGCGATTGAGATTTTAGGATCTGCCAGTGTGTGTGTCTGCCGCTCTGTTTCCCAGAAGTAGCCAGAGCTTTAAACCTGACTTGTTTGTTTGGCTCCAGATTAGGCTGAGCAGCAGCATTTGCCAACATCTGTCTGCCATTACCCTTGTGTCACTGGCAGTCATGCAGCAATTAATCAGACTGTTGTGATAGCTGCCTCTCGGTCACTCTGCACCTCAGGCACATCACTGAGCAGCAGGATGGGGGTCAGCGTTCACAGGGTCATAGCCCTGGGACGTTTGACTATACATGTTCTCCCCAACTACAGCACAAACCACTGGCCTGTACTTACTTTGTAGGAGCAGAGGATCTTGTCTAATGTTAACCTCTGTCATTGCAGCTTTGTAATCAACAATATACTCTTCTTTCACTTTTGTATCTGTCTACATGTAACTGATTCTAAAGCGTGCACTTAGAAAATTGAAGTCAACAGATTGGTGATGGTAGCATTTGAAATGCAGAGATATCCATGTGGCCTTGTGCTTGGAGCTGCTGGATAATGCACACTACAAGACCAGGCTTATAATGACTGAAGTACTGAATCTGTGACCTTCAAATCAAATTTCCTTTTGGAGAAGGTCTCTCACAGTATTGTACACCAAAGTGCTGCAATGATGCTGTTGGCTAGACAAAACATGATGATATTTGAAGGCAATACAGGGCAGTTTTTCCTGTTGTGACATTTTATAGACAAATGATTTATTGAGAATATCTGTGGATTAATGATCATTGTCTGCAGCCCTAGTACAGTAGAGCTGAAACTAATTCAATTGATTACTCAAGAGAAAATGAATTTCTAGCAGTTTTGGTGATCAGTTCATTGTTAGGAGAAAGTGTGCCATTTCAAGCAAATCTAATGTGAGAATTTTCATTTTTTTTAATTTAGTTTTTTGGAAATAATTAGTTTCCTTTATTTAAACAAAAATTCTTTCCCCATTCCAAAAGCCAACTCGTCCCCTTGGGTGAGTAGCACAAAACAAACAACAGGAAAAACAAAAAAAAAGTCAAAGAAATAATAAATACACACATTGCAATATTGGTTTTTAAGATCATATCTGTCTGTGATGTTTGATTTCACCACCAGTAGCCCAGGGAATAATCATATGCTTATCAAGAGCGGCTGCTGTGTTGGTATGAAGTAAACAGCACCTGCGTTCCTTTTTTGCCTCAGGTCTCTTAACTGTGTCTGCTTTATCAAGGCTCTCTCTGTTGTCGGTTTACTATTTTATTTGATAAGGGCTGTTTGGCTCTTGGCCTGTCGGTTGACATTCTCAGGGCTTGTGCTGTGGTGTGATACAACCTGAGCTCAGACAGCAAGCAGACTGTCTACTGCTCATGGAAAACAATCTGTGCCCAAATTTAGATTATGCTCATGATGTAAGTTTACATCTGTTTTAAAGGGAGCTACGGTGACTTTTAGTGTTGCTGTGGACTTCAGCCTAGAGCTAAGCATCTGCACACTGGAAATACAACTCCAGAGATCTTGAAATTTTCTTACGTTCTTTGTATTTCATTAACCAGTTCTTAACATAAGGTGAGCTGAGGAGGAAGATGTATTTGAGGTTACTCTTCCATTGATCTGAAGATGAAACATAAGCTGCTATAGTTTGAAAAATCAGCCCCAGTGGCCTTGTTGAGCATCTTACAAACTTAGAAATTAAACTGACGGTAGTCTGCATCGGGAGGCACAGCTGATCTCCTGAATCTTTTCTTATCTGGACCAGTGAAGGCAATTCTGCATCACTCGGAGATGGACTGTTATGAGAGATGCTTAGTAATTTGAGTCAGTGATGAGGTTGGGATGCGCGGGGGGGGCCTTTAATCAGATTTGCTGGAGGTGCTGTTGGTTCGATTACTGTGTGTAGTTTACCAGTCATGGCTCTCCTCTGCTTTGTGCTAATCTATACATCTAGGAAAGAGAGGAAATTGAAAGAAAATATCCCCCTGGTATTTTGCTGCAAAATGATTTCTGTTGTTTCCCTGGACTAGGCAGACGTGCACAGAATAGAGTGGCAAAAAAAGGATGAGCTGCAGAGTATTGCTTTATAAAGAAACATGCACAGTGACTGTGGAAAGCCAGACTATAAATATGAGAGATATTTTAACATGTTCCTTATTTTAGGGCCCTGCAGTCTTTCACCTTGTGCCTCTCTGCGATGACAAACTGGGCTGCAAAAGAGAAAAAGTGACCAACAGCTGGGCCATATCTAAAGGATGCGTTTCTTAAATGGAGCTCAGCTTCATGAAAAGATCAAAATTCAGTTTCACTGAAACTGAATTTTACATCTACCTGGTTATATGTTTGAGTGGTGCCTGAAAAAGACTGGATATTTTATTGCTTAAATCTGTTTTTATGGGCTCTTTGCTTAGTCCATTAAATGCAGCTCATGCATTCTTTTAGCTAAATCCTTGTACTATTGCTATAGATAATCCTTGTTGTTAATTGGCTTTTTTAAAACGTTATTCTATCTTTTAGGTTCGTGCATTAAGAAAAAGGTGGAGAAGCTTCCAGAGGATTTCTGATAAGGGGTCAGAAAATGAGCACATCCAAGACAGAAACAACTGACCCACCCAGCTATCTCACTGCCCTGTGAACAGTCATGCCCCCCTCTGTATCACCCATCAAGGGGAAGTCCCACAAAGATGTGGGACTGTTTTCTGACATAGATTTGGAGTAATAACTAAACCTCAATAGATTTGGCATTAAGTTTGGTCAGCTATTACGCACAGTACATATTAGACTACAGGTGAGGCTAAATCCCTAGCCAACACACACAGGACTCTTAAGAGGAGGTATACAGCCACAGATGACCTTTACGGAAGAACAGAGCTACACCCCGGCTTTGTTGACTTAGTACCCATCCCACTGCCTTGATGACAAGGTTGACCATGGCAGCTGCTGATCCCCATAGCAGCGGTTCCTTGGTGGGGCGAGGAGCAGACTGAAAGAGTCAACAATGCAGCGTAGCGGTGGTGGAGTGGGTGCTGGAGGCCAGCCATGGGTGTTGCGACGTGTGCGTCTCACATGGCTCAGTTTCATGCTTTTCTTCATCCTGGTCTTCTTTCCACTCATTGCCCACTACTACCTCACTACCATTGATGAAGCTGGAGGTTCTGATAAGCGCATTTTTGGGCCACGGCCTGGTGGCGAACTATGCGAGGCCAAACATGTGCTGGATCTGTGCCGCATTCGCGAGTCGGTCAGTGAGGAGCTGTTGCAGCTGGAGGCCAAAAGGCAAGAGCTCAATGGGGAGATCGCCCGACTCAACCTGCGCATTGAAGCCTGCAAGCGCAGCATTGACAGTGCCAAGCAGGACCTGTTGCAGCTGAAGAATGTTATCAGTCAGACAGAGCATTCCTATAAAGAACTAATGGCCCAGAACCAGCCCAAGTTGTCGCTGCCTGTGAGATTGGTGCCAGACAAGGAGGACACAGGACTGCCACCACCCAAGTCTGCACGCTCCTGCCGCCTACGCTCCTGCTTCGACTATGCACGGTGCCCTCTTACATCAGGGTTTCCTGTGTATGTCTACGACACAGGCTCCTACCCATGGGGGGATTATCTAGACCCATTGGTGAAACAGGCTTTTGCAGTGTCAGTGAAGAGCAACATTTATGTAACTGATAACCCCAGCATTGCCTGTCTGTATTTAGTACTGGTAGGAGAGCTACAGGAGTCCTCCTCCTCATCACTGCCATCTCCTTCAGAGCTGGAGAAGCATCTGAAAGCTCTACCTTACTGGAGATCTGATGGACACAATCACTTACTGGTGCATCTCTCTAGAAAATCCATGACACAGAACTTCCTGTATAATGTGAGCACAGGACGAGCAGCAGTTGCTCAGTCCACTTTCTTGGAGAAGCAGTACCGTGAGGGCTTTGACTTGGTTGTGTCCCCGCTGGTTCACGCTCTCTCAGAACCAAACTTTTTGGAAGTGCCCCCTCAGGTTCCTGTGAAGAGGAAATACCTCTTCACCTTCCAGGGAGAGAGGGTGGAGTCCCTGAGGAGCAGCTTACAGGAAGCGCCGCCTCAGTCTTTCGAGGAGGAAATGGAAGGAGACCCACCGGCTGACTACGATGATCGCATCATTGGCACCTTAAAGGCAGTGCAGGACAGCCACTTGGATCAGGTCCTGGTGGAGTTCACCTGCAAGAACCCACAGCCAAGTTTACCAAGCGAGTGGGCCGTTTGTGGGGAGAGAGAGCACAGGCTGGAGGTGCTCAAGGCTTCTACATTTGCCCTGGTAATTGCTCCAGGCGATGGACAACTTGTGGCCTCAGCAGGCTGTGGAATGAGGCTCTTTGAGGCCCTAGAGGTAGGGGCCATTCCAGTTGTGCTGGGGGACCACTCCAAGCTGCCTTATCACCAGTTTATTCGCTGGAGTGAAGCTGCCATTATAGTTCCCAAGCCTCGTGTGACAGAGCTACACTTTCTGCTGCGCAGTCTGTCAGATAGCGACGTGTTAGCGATGAGGCGGCAGGGCCGCTTTCTATGGGAGACCTACTTCTCCACCTCGGAGAATGTTCTTAACACAATATTAGCCAGCATCAGAACCAGCATCCAGGTTCCAGCTGCACCCATCAAAGAGGAGCCCGCCCATGAGATTCCTCACAAAGCTGGGAAGCTGGCAGGAACAGATGCCAACTTGGCCGACAATGGTGATCTGGATTTGGGTCCTGTCGAAACAGAACCTCCCTATGCTTCACCACGGTTTCTGCGCAACTTTACATACACAGCTGCAGACACCTATAGAGCATGGAACCGGGCCCCGGGGCCTTTCCACCTGTTTCCTCATACTCCTCTAGACCCTGTGCTGCCCACTGAAGCCAAATTCCTTGGCTCAGGTACTGGTTTCAGACCTATAGGTGGAGGTACAGGAGGCTCGGGGAAGGAGTTTCAGGCAGCTTTAGGGGGGAATGTTCCCCGAGAACAGTTCACCGTGGTCATGCTGACGTATGAGAGGGAGGAGGTGCTGATGAACTCTCTGGAGAGGTTGAATGGACTACCGTATCTCAACAAGGTAGTGGTGGTGTGGAACTCGCCCAAGCCACCTTCAGATGACCTACTCTGGCCCGACATCGGCCTGCCCATCGTGGTGAGTGCTCTTTCAGAGAGATTTTTGAATTTGACAAATCTACATGTTCATCAAAATGGCATTTGTTTCTTTAGCAAGGAATACATCTTCTTCTCATCCTGTCACTCTGAAAAGCAAAAAAGTAACCTGTTTCTGATGTATTGATGTGATGGAGCTAAGTTTGCTTATGTACACCGATCATTCAGTGCATCTCTAATTTTAGGTATAAAATGCACTCAACACATCATGAAATACTTCTGAATTTTGCTTAAACATATCAATCATATGCATTCGGATACCATCAAACAACAGTTATGCTATGCTAAGTGCAAAATACTCAGTGTATAGCATTACTCAAAATCTTCTCAACTGTACTAACAAAGAGTACCTCTACCGTAGAAAGTCCTCTCTAAATGCTGTTGCCAAGCTATGTTTTGTCTCTTGACTGCAGGTTGTCCGCACAGAGAAAAACAGCCTCAACAACCGCTTCCTTCCCTGGGACGCTGTGGAAACCGAGGCCATCCTGTCGATTGATGACGATGCTCATCTCCGCCACGATGAGATCATGTTTGGTTTCAGGTCAGTGACTGTGACAGGATCCATAAAACTCTGGGTGTTCTTTCTACAAAAGAAACACCCCTATGGACCATAGAATTCGCCATCACTTTGCCATCTGGTAAGATGTGACGGCCGTTAACTGCTGTGAAGAAAGATGTACACAAAAATGTGGTAAAACAGAAGAGAAAGCTTTGTTTTGTGTGAAAAGCAAAAATTTCCAAAACTGACGAAGCATCACATTCCTGAAAACACTGGATCAGACACTGAAGCAAATACAAGAGAGTGAGTTAGAGGAAACACAGGAAAACATTGTTAGCATCTCATATTTATGATTCATTCGTTAGTTCTGTACTTGGATAACTTGACTATGAAGGCCAGTTCAAACCAATTAAAAGACCAAGTAGACTGCTAAGTTATTTTTGTGCTGCTGTCCCTCCACTCATGCAGACTTGTCTTCGACAAGTTGGTGCTGCAGCAGCTTGTCCAGACAGGCCAAAATCAGCTCTGTGTGTACTGGGTCATTTGTCATGAATTATCTCAGATTTCCCTCAGAATTACCCAGGAATGTTTCCTCACCTCCACTCTTGCCAAAGAGGAAAAATTGAGCAGCACGTGACCGTGTTAAAGTGTCTTGCATGATTTCCTGTGATTGCCCTTTGAGATTTCTTGCATCTTCTGTCTGTTAGAAATTCCAAGTGTCTCATCTATTAAACTGAAACTTTTTATTGTCAAAAACTTGCAGTCACTAAGCTACAGTATGTGTAAATATGTGTTTAGACTATAGTGACATTTTGGTTTTAAAAGATATCTTAAAAAAGGATCATACGCTAATAGAAGACAGCAGAATGGTTACTTGATTTGTCCCCAGAGAAAAATAGTTGCTTAGTTAGCTCATTGCTTATATAGATGACAGACTAAAACAGATGGCATATGCACAGACAGACACTTGGAGTCCAAAGTAATGACCATATAAGAACTAATAAATAACTACAATTAAAAATCATCCTTAAAGCATTTATCATTTGGGTTGAGTCCGGATTCTGTTGACTATCTGTGTTCGGCTGCATCACACAGAGTGTGGCGAGAGGCCAGAGATCGCATTGTGGGCTTCCCTGGGAGGTATCACGCATGGGACATCAACCATCAGTCCTGGCTTTACAACTCCAACTACTCTTGTGAACTCTCCATGGTCCTGACGGGAGCAGCTTTCTTCCATAAGGTGAGATCTTGTCACTCTCCCAAAAGAATCCTACAACATCTCACCAGATCCATTTTTGTATGATAACCATATCATTCAACACGCCCTCCCCCTTCTTTTTTTGTTTTTGTTTTCTTGTAGTACTACGCCTATCTGTACTCTTACGTGATGCCCCAGGCCATCAGGGACATGGTGGACGAGTACATAAACTGCGAGGACATCGCCATGAACTTTCTGGTTTCCCACATCACCCGCAAACCACCCATCAAGGTCAGTCTGACCATGCTCAGCTAAGCATCAGCAAGCTTTGTATCTCCATCAGCCCCCATGTATTTTTTTACCTACTTAGCCTTGCTATTACTCAAACTGACATATCCAATATTCCATACAAATAGTAAATCAAAACCACAAGATCGAACTGGGGAGCTATGCCTGGTGTTCTTCCTGGATTTTTATTGGAAGGACATTTAATCGGCATTTATGGGTAGACAAATAATTATAGCAATCAGGCCAGGGAATCTGTCGGAACAGAAATGACATAGCAGCCCTCAGCTTAAGTTTTTTTTTTATTTAATAGGGTGTTAATATTCAGGGGGGGTTTCAGGGGGACTTACAGGCAGCCTTGATGGAGTTTGCTGCATGACAGCAATTCACTGCCAGGAATAAGTCTTGTGAATAATGAATTTGTGGCAAGTTAAATGTAGAGTCCTAAATAGCAAGAGACTACTACTGTTTTAGTCCAAATGATACAAATAAAGCATATGGTGAATTTCTCTTGGCTGAGATTTCATGCATCACTGCTGCTGAAATGACGACACTCAAGCTCAGTCTGAATGATGGGTTTTATTTTTCTTCTGCCTTCTTTAGTTTCTAAAGTTTTTCTCAGAATTCTTTCTTTAAACTCAGAATTTTGAGGAAATAAAAGTCAGAACTCAAATTTTGTACAGCTTTTTGGTCTTGCAGATGATGTTTAATACTGTAGGTACTGACCCTGGTAGCTGGATATGCTAACATTTGCAGCTTATAATAAAAACACACACACAGTGCTTGTCTGCTGTAAGGCTAGAAAAGAGACCCCATGCTCCAACGCTCTGACTACAGCCCCTGTTCTGTTACTGGGCCTATAGAGGAATCCTCAGTTTGACAAAGGGAGGGGTTTACTGAAGAATCAGTTCCTGAAACACTGTTTTCATCCTACAGCAGCCTTGTGCTGTGATGTACCACAAGCCCAAATTCCTAAAATATATTTCAAATTTACAAACTGGCTCTCTCCATCTTAGGTAACATCTCGTTGGACTTTCCGCTGTCCTGGCTGCCCTCAGGCCCTTTCACATGATGACTCGCATTTTCACGAGCGCCACAAGTGCATAAACTTCTTTGTGAAGGTGTACGGCTATATGCCACTGCTGTACACACAGTTTCGTGTGGACTCTGTGCTCTTCAAGACTCGTTTACCCCATGATAAGACTAAGTGCTTCAAGTTCATCTAGCATCAGGCTGAGCGTCCAGCAAAGGGCCAGAAGCAGAGTGGGTTGAAGGACTCTGGGTATTTAAAGAGAGCGGCAGCTCCCACTGCAAGCGCTGATGAAGATGAATGGATGGATTGCAGATGAATGCACAGAAGCATTGTTTTGGGTTTGGATTTTGCCCAGGACAAGCTGACCTTAAAAGCCGTTGCCCGGAGGCCAAATTCACAACTTTACTGAATATTCAAAGAGTGGAAGCTGAAAGGGACCACTGCCAACAAAATAAGCCTTTTCAGTGGATGTAACTCCTCCTCCTTCATGTTCGTCAGTCATTATCTATCATCAACCATTACAGATATCATTTGCAGC